GATGCGCCATGCCATCCACTCCCTTTGGTATTTGTGATGGTGTGTTCTAGCTACATCTAAGGAATCCATAGCTGAGCGATGCAGAGAGGAGTGCTTTTACCCTCCCAAACAATCAAGTGAAATGCTCCGAAAAAAGCAAAGGAAAAGTAGTTTCAGGTTTGGGAGCTGGTTTATTAAATATGGACGCGATTAATACCTGGCAACACTTCACTCTAGACGTCTAAAATAACCCGTACTTAGCGGCAAAAGTCAAACGCTATAAAGGCATCCATTGGGCCACGTTCTTTTGGGAGAATCGGAGAAAGTGCTACCGGAACACCCGAGAGATGGACCAAGTACAGATCGATCTTGATCCTGCTCAGACGGACTCGACGGGATTGACCCGTAATCACTCCTCCTGCGTGTCCTGTGAATGACTGATCTTCTAGTTCTCCGATTTTGAATAACAATACGCACCCATACCTCTTCGCCAATCCGCTGGCTCGGCTCGTCACGGCGGCGGCAGTAACATAATTGTACGTGACTTGCGGAGAATACATCACAACAGACGGCACATACTTTTTGCATTTAATTACGTAGATTACGATTTCATAATATTTCGGAAGTGTTAGTCATCCTGTGAGGATTTTTTGAAGTCAGTTGATTCAACATTTGTGTTATCCCATTAAAAAAACTTTGTTTGAGAGCGTAGAATCTTATACTGGTTTCTTGCTTGAAGATATAGTTGTTCGCCATTGCATTGAGGTTGCCATAGCGGATCATCACTCGTGTTATCGAGTTTCTCCTTTCAGTAACTGATCGTTTCACAAACATGTTTTCTGCTGATCCTATATAACTTTTATTCGCGCTATATAATTTCTAATGTGTTCTGCTTTAGTTGGGAAAGCCATGTCGGACGAAGAATTGAACGACAAGATGGCCGACATAAAGGTGGAGGGCGAAAAGAAACTCACAAAAAGGTAGTATTGGTTATTTTTCACTTCGATGAGAAAGAAAGAAGGAGAAACAAGAGATTTTGTTGCGAGCTGTTTGAAATCAAATGCTTTTATACACTTTTTGTTCTACCCTCCATGCAAAATATCCCGTTTTCCTGCAGTCTCGGGAGGTTGAGGATATTGTTCTTAAATCTTACCTTAAACGGGCCCAATTAACCACTATTACCCCAAAAAGTCAAAAAAATTTTGCTGAAACTTTGCCCACAGGGGTAATTCGGTGTACAGACAGATAGAATATAGCACTCGTTTTCGGCGCTGGCGCCAAATTGGCGCCAATTGGGGTCCACCTTTCTCAAATGCAATACAATTTGCATAGCAGGATCACTTGATGTCCTGATCACGAATACCGCATTAGTTTTTAGCCCTGGCGCCATCTGGCGCCATTAGGCACTGATTTGGCGCCACACTTTTTCATCAAAATCGATAAAAACCTGCATAATAGGGTTGTTTGATGCCCTGATCACGAATATGACATTTATTTTCGACACCAGCGCCATTTAGCGCTCTTCTAAGGCTGAGCCTGGGAGAAGGAGCCACTCAGGCCAGGCTCAGCCTTAGCAGAGCGCAGATGATCGTAGTGTCTTCCATCAGCGCCAGCGCCAAAAATGAATGTGATATTTGTAATCAAGATGTCAAATAACCTCCGTATACAAGTTTTCAGCGGATTGTGATCTAGGGTACCTTGGCGCCGGCGCCTGTGGCGCGGGCGCCAGGCAGTTTCAGGCCAAGTGGATGTGATATTCGTGTTCAGGAGGTCGAATTACCCCTAGAACCCAACTTTCAGCCAAATCTGCCCCGTAGAAAAAAGTCGATCAGAACCTGGCCTGTTTTCGGAAAATTTGGGTAGGAATAGTTAAATGGTGCCGTTAAACGTTGAAATTCCATAATTTTAAGCTTTCATGATTTGCGAAAGTGCCAAGCGGACTCACCGTGCAGCGCCCTTCTTGCTTTACTAGTTCCACAAAAGTGGCAATACTTACAGAGAGTTGAAGAAGTTGGCGAAACGAGCAGGATATGAGAAAGAAATTTTGGCAATGGGTGGAACAGTTGATGGTCAGAATGCAAGTGAAATTCAGAACGAGGAAGGTGTGTTCGTCTAATTGGATGATATTTTTCTTGACCTGCACAGTCTCTTTTTTATAACTGTCGTGCGCCATTTACTGTTTTGCAGTCTAGTTCGCTACGGATGATGGGGCGTGTCAAGCGGGATATAATTGGCGGAGCGCCAAACAATTCCACCAGCTGTTGAAGCGAGCAAGCGATAAGTTTGTATCATATCAATCTCATCATTCGTTTCTCACCTATTGTTGTCGCTTACCTGCTTCAACAGTTAGTGGAAAGCGGGCTAGCGCGGCGCGTCAAACTATGTCTCACTGACACGCCCCATCACCCGCTGCGAATAAAACTGTATTTGAAGCTCGGCCATCTCGCCCCAATGACTGTGACTCTTGCCGATTCGGATACGCTATTCGCACGTTGATCATTTTCATGCTCGGACCGCCTTTGAGAAGTAACCGCTGCCTAAATTCCCTACCCGTAGTTTGCTCCTCAGTGAGTTGTAGGCGCAGAGCTTAGCTTTTGCATTAGAATGACTCTTCGGAGATGTATTTGAGACGTTTGCGATGTTTTGTTCTGCCTTTTCTTCTTTGGCAGATTGCTCGGTACTTACAGTTTCATATTTGAAACTTACACCCCTCGCACACTTGTGTTTTACAAGCGGCATTTTCCACTGGGCTACCCTGCTCTCAGATCCATCTCGCCAGCTGGGAGCAGAGCAGTTGGGAGTCGTCTATGGCATACTCTGTCAAACTACTATGTTTATGGAGATGAAGTAGTATGCGATTCTTCTATTGTATCTTGCAGGTGAAAAAGGAGGTATTGGATCCGGGGCTCACCTCGGCGGTCAATTCACTGTTTCTCAGTCTTCACAAAGTCAGACTCAGAAGCAGCAAGCCGACAATAATATGGATATCAAGGTTTTGATCATTTGCGTTTATATTTAGCGTCACTTGCGTTTATGTTAGTTATTCACTTCAGCGTTCTGACTTCAGGTTGAAAATTTTGACATTGGTGCCCAAGGTAAACTCCTTTTCGAAAAGGCTTCGTTAACAATTGTTTATGGCAGACGATACGGATTGGTTGGGCCTAATGGGTGTGTACAAATTCCATTATCTCAATCTGTAGTCTTGTAGTCTTGTTCGCTGCGGATCCTGGGCCGTGTCAGGGGGAGGGGGGTTGGGTTCGGAGTGGCGCCGGCTCACGAACTGCTGGAGAGGGGAAAGCGACAACGATCGGTGAAAACGTGCTGGCGCCCTGCCGAATCCAGCCCTCTGACACCGCACCAGCATCCAGAGAGCGTAGCATAATGCTTTAGCGTATTTCCAGAATGGGCAAAACTACGTTATGAAACATATAGGATCAAGACGTTTGCACGGAATTCCTTCCAGCATTGATATTCTTTACTGTGAACAGGGTACGTTTATTTAACGAACCAGTTCGCAATAACCTGATAGGTAGAATTCATTTCCTGTGAATGATTAGAAGGTCTGCAACAGATTTTGAACGAAATGGTGCCGGTTGTGGGCAGCAAGACAATCGTGGTTCGTCGCGTCGTCACGCTTGGCTATGCGTGAAACATCGAGGACTAGCCGCACAATCGCGCACAAAGCGCTCGGCCGCGGCGACGAGTGCTTTGAATTCTCGATATGTATCGAGTTTGCCGGTTGGAGCAGAGACTTATGTGAATTTCAGCGAAGAAAATTTCCATGACGTACGATATTAAATTTCAGATCGTTAACACATACAATTTAGACTTATCCGCGCAAAGGTAGCCCGTTTTTGTCAGTCGCGACAACAGAGTCGCTCGCACGAGCCACGCCAACCGGAGCGACATGTTAGCGCGTTGTCGTTAAGCCACGCCCATCAGTGCCGCATATTACGATTGTCTTGTCACATAACTCCGATTGTATACCACCTCGTCCTTTAAAGGTCTACTGAAACACGCCACTGGCGGCCATTTCGTTCTATCGCGCCATCTTCATTCCGCTCCCATACTTTGTATAAAAGTCATCAAATCTATTGATAATGCGCTGTCCTCAAGTAATCTTGATCTTTGAGCGTCCTCTGCGTCTCTATTCACCCCATGCTTGTCCAGTGCTGAAAATCTGCATTTATTTGGTAGCGTTTTTGACGGCCCTTTCTGCCACCCACTAGCACTAGCAGTCGCATCGTTAAAGTATTCCATGACCGGCTTTCAATTAATCTCGGCATATAGGCGTAGTATACTGTTGCTTGATCCTTTAGCCTTCCGAGATTGTTAAAGACGTTTATTAGACTAACGTTTCGGCGAAAATCGCCTTCTTCGGAGTCCTGTAAAGTCGAAAGCACATTATCGAGACACTTCACCCAAAACCAACATCACTTACAAAAGAAAGGGTAGGGAATCAGGAACGAAATCGTAACAGACCTGCAACCAGCCTCTTGATGTTATCATAACAATATCAAAAGCTTTAGGAAATAAAAAAGGCAGGAAAGACGATGCTAGTTCACCAAGTCACATTTTTTGGACTATCTTTATATACTGACCAAAGTTTCCCTTTATATTTTTCCACGCAAATGTTTACCGTCGAGTCTCCTGTATGATATTCTAAAACCGTGTTGTTTGCTTCTTCAGAAATCGCCGTGGATAGCACTTCTGCAATTGATACTGTTGTGAAGTCGGACAAGAAGAGGCTTGCGTTGCTAGAAGAAGAGTCGCAGCTAACAAAGCAATTGGAAGAAGGGGATAGCAGTGTGGTGCAACGACTCCAGGACATTGCTCGTGAACTTAGGGACATTGGTGCCGATGCAGCTGAACCCCGAGCGCGTCGTATCCTTGCTGGTCTAGGATTTTCGAAAGAGATGCAGGACAAAGCTGTTGAGGTGAGAATGTGTACACATTTCGTATAATTGTGTGAAGAGATTCGCTTCACCTTCACACTTTGAGAAGATGCCCTATTCCATCTAGTCCATAAGGCGGCGTTCAGACTTCGCGACGGCACTCTTCGGTCGCGCCATTCAACGATCGATGTACATATTCGACTGCACCGATCGCGTCGGACGCGCGTTTGAATCGCTGCCGTCGCGAAGTCTGAACGCTGACTAATAATTTTCTTAGAGACTAGCTCAGAGACTCTTGGTCTATTTGATTTCATGCTACATCGCGCGCTACTCGTATGGGTGGGTAAATGATGATTGGAAGGGGACCGAGATTCATGATCATTCTCTGCGTTCCTCATTGACATGCCCCTCCTCTTTATCGAATTACAAAGAGAGCGCACCGAAGCCGCAGTCTCCGCCCATCAGGTTATTGCGGAATCCTCCTTCGATGTATTCACTCCAAACAGGTTTCCATTAGAGTACGACCATATTTTTGAAGCGGATGTATTCGCATACCATACATACGACTTTTGCTTGTTTGTAGATATCGTCTCAGAGCTCTACTTTTACCAATTGCTCTGGCGCTTTGGCGCAGCACCTGTTTAGACGATTGCGCCTTTTGAGGTACAAACCAAGCGGTTTCGCGCTAAGTTAATGCAGTATTCGTGCCCAGGGACAAAATACCTCTGAGGATAACTTTTAAACAAATTTGGTGTTCCGAAGTGCTTTGGCGTTGGCGCTTGCGGCGCTACGATGCTTTCAGTCACGATGCAAATCTGGAGCCTGTCGCATGAACGCGAATGCATCACATTCGCGTTCATGCGGGCAGACTAACTCCAGAATATATAGCCAAATCAACCCGCGAGTCAAAATTTCAGATAGTTTGGCCGGATTGTGTCCTTTAAATCACCAAATTATAATTAGCGCCCAATTCTTTTTTCGATACTGAACATTTGGGGTGGTTGATGGTTATCTATCGTGATCAATACTGCTGTAATCATCGCTGTTTAAGGACTTTTCGGGAGGATGGAGAATGAGAATCTCTCTGGCTCGTGCTCTGTTCTTAGAGCCCACCTTACTAATGCTTGATGAACCTACTAATCACCTTGACTTGAACGCAGTTATTTGGCTGGACAAGTATGTTCTTTTATTCTTAGTTGTGCCTTTCGCTGTAGTAATGTTTTGAAGGATTATTTGTTCAGCTACCTTCAGTCATGGAAGAAGACGTTGCTTATTGTTTCTCACGATCAAGGATTCTTGGATAACGTTTGTACTGATATCATCCACTTGCAAGATCGAAAACTCCATTATTACAAGGGAAATTACAGTAAGTCAGTCTTATTTTGGTCACCAATTTTCGGTGCCAGTGTAGTTGAGCAGAGCCATACTGCAGCGCCTATGCGCCCCTGCTCCTGACAAGGTTTAGTCTTGAATCCCAGGCGGTCGGAATCACGTGATGATGACTACTTTGCTAGAGTTGTCCGCGGCGACTCTTAAGCCTCTCAGGCTGCGTTTTTTGACCAGCGTTTTGAGAGTACGGCAGCGTTTTGAGGCGTTTCGCAGGTAGTTTGGGCTTTTCGCGGGCAGTCGCTAAAAACTGGCATACGCTCAAATCGTTAGAACAATATCTATACTTTCCTAGTCGCTCAAAACGCTGCCGTAGGCTAGATAGGTACCTATTCTTTCGTAGTCGCTCAAAATGCTGACGCAAAGTATGAACCGTAGCGTTGGCAGCTGCCTCGGTGCTTGAGCTTTGGGGGAGGGGAGCAGAAGCGCTAACGCGTATCCCAGATTAACTTACTTAACATCCAAGGTCTAAGCCCCCTTTTTTTAGAGGAAATATTCTCTCATCGCATTTTCACGTCTGTTACTTCGAGGGCCGAAAATAAGGAAGAGAGAAGGGAGGAAGGAGAAAAGGAGAAATTTTCTCTTCCTGGTTCACTCTTTTTCATCCTTCCTTCTCCTCTCTGCCTCGTTTCCCTCCCTCCAGCAACTGGGCAGAAAATGCGATCAGCCAACACCTAAAGGCCCTCGCAAGGCCTAGAGACCCTCGTCCGCTCGACAGAAACCCTGTAACCTCCGCGATGACAGATATTTTTTGTTGCAAAGCGCCGAAGACAATCAAAACCACAACTTTTACCCAAAAGAAGTGGCTCATCCAGCCCAACGGAGCTCTAGGCTTGTACGAAAACTCTTGACTACTCGCTCCTGGTAGTTACTTCCACTCTTCCTGCACTGGCTACTGCTTCTTTAGAGGTAAAGGCCCCTGTTGCTTTTCTTAATCTTTCACTTTTCAAACTTTTAATTTACATTTCTTTTTAAAGGTTTATTCAAGAAGATGTACGATCAGAAAACGAAAGAGTATCTGAAAGCGTACGAAAACCAGAAGAAACAAATGGTTGCTTTGAAAAAAGGTGGCAAGAGTGCTAAGCAAGCAGAGGAGGAGCTAAAGAAAAATATGCAAAATAAACAGAACAAACAAACGAAAGGAAAGAAAGGATCGGCTTCAATGGGTGATGAGAGTGAGTCATTTTTATGTACTGCCAATAGGTATGGTCTTGTTCGCTGGGGAATGATAGGGCGTGTTCTCGCGGCCGCACTTGGCGCGCCGCTATATACATAGTCCATAAGTTTTTTAAGCGAATCAGTGACAACAACTGGTAATAAACGGCTAATGCAAACGATATGATACGGTCTTGTTGTTTGCCGAACAAAAACGGGTTGGCGGCACGCCAAACCCTGCCGCGCAGACATGGCCCGTCATCCGCAGCAAATAGGATTATACACCTGCATGCGATTACCCCTTCTTCTACTTCCGTAAGGAGTGCATTATTTTCATCTTCTTTTTATTTCTGGATTAACAAACGGAGAGGCGCTGTTGTAGTTGAGGGTAGTGTGGAGAGGCCGCGCTAAAGTGATCCCCTTCACTACCCAACGCTCAGCCCTGGAAAAGTGGAGGCAATTAGAGTTCACTAGCAACAATGCCTCGAAGCGCAAAGAAGCGGATTTTTCTGTTCCGCCGCTTTCCTGCTTGTCTCAACTGCGCAGGCAACAGTAGTAATTCGAAATTGCAGTAGTGTATTGCCAACAGAGCTGAACGTTAGGAGGGAGCTTGAATAATCTCATTTGAGGACTCAGTTCGTCTACGGTATTCCAGCGTAGCCTGAAAAGAATGAACCACCACTGTTATGAGTGAGAGCAGATAGACAAACTTCGTTGAGGCCCCCCCCCCCCCCTCCTCTCTCCCCTTCCCAACTACAGCAGCGTTGTTTCCCATTGCATGCCCCATAATTGCATGAAAAAGCTTCTTAATGTTCAGACCTGCTCAGTCTAATTTCAGGTGACCTCCCTCCTCCAGAGTTGCTGCAAAGGTTTAAGGAGTATCAAGTGAAGTTTTCATTCCCGGAAACTGACAAACTAGCGCCGCCGATCTTGGGATTGCATGGTAACTCCCTTGGTAAATACTCGTAGCGTGAACAAATAGGAATCGATCTATTTCAGATGTAACGTTTGGCTATGGTAACAATGTTCTTTTCAAAGATTTGGACTTTTGGTGTTGATATGGACTCTCGGATAGCAATTGTTGGCCCGAATGGTGTAGGAAAATCAACGCTGCTGAAGCTATTGACTGGGAAAATTGAACCCGTATGATGATCGTTGATCAACATAGCTTATCGATGAATGTTACAAATCCTTTCAGTTACAAGGAGAACTTACAAAGCATCGGCAAGTAAAGATAGGATGGTTTGATCAGCATGCGAATGAGGCTTTGAATGGAGAGCAGACCCCTATTGAATACCTGAGTACGAAATTCAATATCGATTACCAGGTAACTTAGCAGCTTTCGCATTTTTTTGGCGCTAACTTAGTTGGAGGGGTCACTCGGCTGCGTCACTGTATCTTACCCCAAAAATATACCTAGTCCCGTCCTCTAGCGAAGGTTTATGCTTAGTGGAGACTAGAACTTTTCTGCGAGATTATTCCTTGGCGAACAGAGTCGCCGAGGAATAATCTCGCAGAAAAGTTCTAGTCTCCACTAAGCATAAATCCTTCGCTAGAGGACGGGACACAGAAACAATTCCAATTATCCCACCTCTCCCTCCAGCTACGTTATCGCCCTTTCTTTCTTGCAGGTATTTTTACTGAATAGTAGAGTTTTTTGTAGTTTGCACGAAAGAACTTGGGAATGGTGGGTTTGGCTGGGCATGCTCACACTGTCAAAATCAAGGATCTGTCAGGAGGTCAAAAGTCTCGAGTAGCTCTTGCGGAGTTGGGTTTGGGGCAACCAGATATGTTGATACTTGTGAGTGTTTTCGGAGTATTGAAGATACGGCCAGATTTGGAAGTTTACTATGAAAAGCGCATGTTCAGGATGAGCCTACCAATAACTTGGATATCGAGTCAATAGACGCTTTAGCCACGGCTATTACGAACTTTGGTGGAGGGGTGGTAATGGTTACTCACGATGAACGACTAGTTCGAGCCACTGAATGTACCCTTTGGATTGTGGAGAACCAGGTAAAACTCGAATTTCTACGTACTTTTGAATTTAAGCCGTCACTTTTTAATTCCATATATTTTGCATCGATAGTAGAAGAAACGGGTCTGCTTATCGTTTAGGCCTCAGTCCTCGATGCAAGCCAAATTTTAGTTGGAAATTTCCTCCGGTGTTAGATTTGGCTTTTATCGTCCAAGCGGTTTGACCCTTTGAACCCGAATATCACGTCCGTATGACTCGAAACCGCGCGACGGCTGCGGCACGGGCTCCGACGATGACTTTTTCGCCTCACATCGAAGTGTTGTGTATGTTTTGAGGGTCCGACCACATTAGGCAAAGTTTCGGCCATATCGTCGAGAAAAGGGTAAATAGTGCCTGAGATGCTGGAAATATTACACTGGAGTTGTTGGGATATATGTGAACGCGCTTTATTCTTTGGTAAGCATTGGCACGGTGATTGTTTGCCTAAAATGCTAGTAGGGCGCTATATAGTGGGAAATGGCGAAAGAACGGAGTGAAACGGTCAAAATCCTGCGAAAAAAGAGCCTCGTTCTCACTGTGTTAGTAATCAATTTTGGACGAGTTTCCCGTAGGCATCTTGCCAATAACCGCTACCGAAGGTACGGCTGCATATGTGTACTCATATATCCATGCAGCATCACGGCCGCTTCATATGCCTTCGCTTCATAATTTGCTTAGCAAATGAATCAATTAGAGCGTCTGGAACAGTCGTCCATTTGTGGGCGGGCGGGCAAGGGGGCGTTTGGGACGTAAAGTTGTGGCTTGATAGCGCCCTTATAAGGGCACCTTCCCTGGAAAAGGCATTATGCAGCGCCTGCTCAGGGTCGCGGAATTCCGTCCTGCCAGGCGTATTAGTCCTGCTCGTCTTGGAGGATTTATCGTGCCAACTGCCTTTAAACTGTTGCGTTGGATATGGTTTCCGTCGTTTTTCTTTATCAGAGGCACGCCCCGCGGTCTCGATGTTAAGACGCCTTCCTTGGAAATTGCTGACCTACCTGCAAGGAGAATGTGCAACTTTCGCAGCTCAGTAGTACGTGAGCAAAGAACATGGTAGGAGTGAGGAGAAAGCGCCCGACACCATCAAGTGAAAACTCGTCCGACCACGCCTTTTCTACGCCTTGCTCCGCACTCCTGAACGCGGTTCGGCAGAGACCCATATGAGACATTTTGGGCCTTTTATATTGTTTTCCTTGCGTCACTTTTTTTTGCTATTTTCTATCTTGTCATTAACATTTGAACCACACAACTCACCGTTGTTTAACATGGGCTTTGTAGGTTCCGGTTTTCAGCCAATATAAGAAACCTCTTTAGCTTGAAGAAACAGTTCTTCACGGCTTTAGCCCTTAGCTTGGCCTTCCAAAGATACTCTCACGTTTACTTGTGAGAGAAGGTACTTCTCGAGTGGCAGAAAGTGCACCTTTGACCTTATAAACTACAGTTTCTAGCTCCAGCCCTCATCATGCGCCTATATCCCGTCTATTTTTGGTCTTTGTCTCGACATCAAGCTGTACACCATTTTCTCGGTTTTCAGCCGTTGACCGTACATTATGCGCTCGCAAGAATGCTGATTTTTGGGCAAATGTCAGAAGCCAGATGGGACTCGAACCAGCATCTCCCGCTGTCCGAACGGGTGCGCTAGCCATGGCGCCCCTGAGATTACCCTCTCAGCTCAATGGCTTTTGTGCCATAGCCTTACAGCACTCACAGGTTCAACGTGATGAGTCGGTTGGTCGTTGAGCTGAGAGTGTAAGAGCAGCAGTCCCGGTGGTTAGCGTACTCGCCCGGTCAGCGAGAGTTGCAGGTTTGAGTCCCGCCTATGGCCAGACTTTTGCCCTTAGGTTACATTATTATGATAATCTTCGGAACGCGAACTGCCGCGTTAGACATCAGTCATTGTAATAAAACAACTCAAAAGTATAGTTAGCCTTTGTACGAGGACATCATTCCAGGAAGTGACCGAAATCGACGGCGACTTCGACACCTACAAGAAGGAGGTCCTGGAGGCTCTCGGTGAAACATTGAGTACCCAGTAACTTCTGTGTCTGCCATAATGCTTCTGAAATTTGCCTGTTGTGATTTGGAAGCTTTTCCAAGCCGCCAAATTTGTCTGGTCCGTTGTTGAGTTTCACCGGTTTTATTGGTTAGTTGTTCTTTTTGGAGCTTTCATAAATATCTATTTTTACGATTCGGTGATTGGCTTCCCGATATTTTTACCCTTTTGTGTCTAAGCGACGGAACTCGGTTGGTTATCATACTTGTTCCTATTTGACACTTTTATCCCTTTCTTTGTCAATTATTTTTAATGAAACGATGACATCGGGTCTAAAATGGTGCTCAGAATTAGTTATGGAAATGGTCATTTTTAAGCGACACATTTATTACTGAGTTGGTCGTCACATTTGTAATCTACTGGCCATCCTTTTGGTTTAGGAGCAGCGAGTACGATTGCTGGGGGAGTAGTATTGCCAACGTCATTGGTGGAAGGGCTGAGTGGGGTGTGGCCGACAGGGTACAGCATCGTTGTGTGAAACACATAGGGGTCGTACTTTTCCGCTGGGAGGGGGGTCGTATTTGGTCGTTGTTGGGAGAGGGGGGGTCGTATGTGGCTTTGAGAGAAATTTGCTGCGTTGGGAAAAATTTACCCCGGTTGCTGACTTTCTGTGATTTTTCCTGTTTCATGTGTACTACGGTCCTCATCATTGCGGACTGTCGGAGGCGGCGTGAGCAGCGCGGTTCGAGTCCGCGTTCGGCTCCCTTGCTCTACCAATGGCGATCGGGTAGAGATCGATTTAGGAAGGAAACAACCAATGATGGAAACGCCGCAGGTGAAAACCGCTGATTGCGACCTGACAACGGCATTGATCTTAGGTGTACATCCCCCTCCTCCCTCGACAGCGAAAATTTTCGAGGATAAGTAGAAAAACCTAGGTAAATCCAGTAAGGTAGGAGGTTGGGGAAAATCTAAGAAATCTTCCCCTTTCACATGTTCACATGTCTCCGGAGGGGGGGGGGGGTGGTGCCTACACCATACTTCACACATCACATCCTTGTGGCCGAACCCCCTCTCTCAGTCCTTCCACCAATGACACTGAAAACTGCTCGTCTCCAGCAATCGTGCCCTTTGCCTTCGGAGCCGTTAAGAATCTGGAGACAACCTCTGAGGTGCTAAGCGCTTGTCAGCGTACCAAATCCGAAAACTGCCGACATGTAAATACGGGGGTCCTTGTCAGCACCCCGTAAGACTATGATCTGTCAAGCACCCCGTAAACTCTGCACAAACTTGTCAAAATGACTAGTCAAGATTTAGAGGAAAAAAGGGAACTGCAATCCCTATGGTGTTAGTACATTTCGGCAGGAGTTTACAGGGTACCTGATAGGAAATCACAGGACTTGAGACGGGATGAAACACGATAGTGAAAAGGCAGGCGAAATAGCAAAGACGAATACACACTGAAAATTACAGGTGTACCCCAAGGGTAGTAGCGCCAAACTTGGTTTGATTTTACCATTACAGAACTCACTGATAGATTTACAGGTTCTACCGAAGACGTTTATTTTGGTGGTTTTCCCATGCAGAAATTCTTACAGTCGTTATATGTGAGGAAATTATTGAAATTGCCGCCGTTACCAAAATAGCTGAATCGTATGCAGTTGGAAAGGCCTGGCATGTAGACGTATCGTGCGTAATGCTTGGTAGTTGAACTTTCAGTACCAGTGGCCATCGGTAGTGAACAGATGTACTCTGAAATTACCAATTGGCTTTCACGCATATTTCTCTTCCCTCTGAACCAGAGGTTGTGTAGTGGCAGGCTTACCACGCGCGCTATTAGAGGTAAAACCGCGACTCCCTCCCAAGCCAACCAGTTCTGCATTTCCTGGGGACGGTAAATTGGACAACAAACAATATCCTACTATATAATTGGATCAAACAAGATCCGTCTGAGAGCCGGCGAAGACCTCATTATGTTTTTATTCGCTTACTCCCACTCTCATGGTATCGCACGACCGCGCCGCATCGCTCAGGGACAGCGCATTTCTCGGTAGGGTAGATCGAGATCACCGTGGCGCACCAAAGTTCTCCCAAGCGTACATGTGTAAAGGTCAAGGAGAGGAGGGGCGTAGAAACTGTGGCCTCGAGAAAATTTTCTTCCATTCGTTAAGTTTCCTCATTTAACGGCCGGACGAAGCTGCGGTTACAATAGTTGATCGCGCGTGATAACCTCCGCCTCTCAGACGGCGGCCGAAAAAAGGTGGATTGTTTGAGAAAACTTTTCCGCCTTTGGGAGTGGCGCCAACCGCTGTATTCTGAGTTTTCTATAGGGAGGGGGGAGCAAAAAAAAAAGATACATGGGCCGTGTCACATATCAGTAAAGTTTACGCAGCTATGACAGAAGACTTGGATACGAGTACCAGAGCGGAAGATACCCAAGGTGCCCAGTTGAGCAGGAATAGGCTCTCGTCCATCACCTTCATGGACACTAAAACTGACCATATCCCAGCCTGACTGGAGAAGGCCTATGGAATTCACGTCACCTCCAAACAGTTGCGGAATTTCTTGTATGGACAGCTACCTGGAGACCGGCACTATTGAACTGGAAGACCTCCAACATCGAGCAGCTCCGACAACGTCGCTACTGTCCAAAATATCATCTTCATTGCAGTCGTCAAGGCGTGGGTTGGTGGTATGGACCGGAAGTTCCTAAAATGGAAGACCGTCCTTCCTTCGTGGATCACGGACTGAAGGTGAACGCTGACGGTTACATCGACCAACTCGAGGAGAATTCCTGCCTTCATGTGTCGCCTGTAACGTCTTGGAAACTTCGTACTGCTACAGGATTTGGTGCCAGCACATGGACTTGGGAAGCTCTCACCTACTTGGAATCGAAGAGTGCTGTGTACCTGAAGAAGAAGGAATATCCAAGTGTGTCACCTGACCTAAACCCCTCGATTACCGGGTTCGGGCGGAGCTCAACAGGGTGGTCTACAGTGGCGGAGAAATCAACGATCTCGCTGAACTCAGGTACCGAATCACGGTCGCGTGGCAGAATCTCTCGATGGCGTTCGTCCAGAAGGCTGTGGCGGAATTTCGCGATAGTGTACAATGCGTTGTTGAATTTGGTAAAAATGCGTTGGTTGAAAATTGATGGTCCAATCAAAATTTAATACAGTGTAACTTATATCGCCTCGAAAATCGAGGAAGAAAAGTGTCTTTTTTTGCCCCCGCCCTTGTAGTCCTCTAGGGGAGATCTATTCGTTGTCCAGAAAGTCTTACGAGCAGATTGAAATTCCTCCCCTATACCACGTCTATAGTTCCTGTTCTCGCGCCAAACCTACTCTCCTTGAAACGCCCCAGGGTTCAAGCGAATAAGGCTATAATCGCGTTACCAACAGTGAATTCCACGCTTTGGACGCTGCTAGCATTGAACCGCCGTTATTAGGACGTCCTAGCCCACCATGTTAAATTGTGAAAATTAAGTGAAATAGCATCAATATCTATACCTTTCATTGGACAGCATTTGTTGTGGTCATTGCATCGATATCCTATCGGACAACCATCATCGCAACTTTTCGCTTTTTCATCAATTTTCGCATCGGTTTTGATTTTGCATTCGACCACTGGAATAATTCTTTTTTGGTGTTGTTCTGGGTTCCGTTCTTGTTCTGAGTACGGTATATTGTGACTGCCATTAGACTCGTAGTTACTTCGTTTCCACATGTTGAGTAATTTCAAACTCACCAACTAATCCTTTGTCGCCTTTTGGGGTGCTCGAGTCTTTTTTGTCCCGGACGCATTTTTCCTTGCACTCGGCTGACGTATTGAATTGGTTCTCGTTGCCTCCGCAGCCTCGGAGAAGCATCGGCTGACAAGCACCTTAAAAATACATAGTGCGATTACTGCCTTGTTCGCGACGAATGACGGCGCGTTACAGGGAGCCAGCTTTAGCGCAAACGCCAGCCTTTTCTTCATCAGTTGTAGAATCTAGCTGGTAACCACCGTTGTTGATCGGCTGCCAGCTTCTACAATTAGTAAAACCCTGGCTGGTACCGCGCCAAACCCTGCCCTTGATAGGCCGCAGCAATAGAGATGCCTTCTTCATGGACATTCTTCTCTTCGTATGGGCAAGAAGGTTAGATCCGTAGCTGTAGAAACAAAAAACCCTTCTGCCATGGGTGAGAAACCGGGAGATGGGTGAGGTTATGCTAACTGTAGCTGTATGTACTTTTGTCTCCACCCATTCTAAATACGCAACGAGGAGGCCTTGAGCACGCCGTACGGCCAGTCACAGGCCTTTGCATAACCATACGCGCTACTTGTTTGCACCCTTTCACGTCTGGTCAGGGCGCCATTGTTCTTTATGGACCGACTTTGGAAGCTAAGGGCTGCCCAGATTTCCCCTCAGACGGCTATCGACTCTCCGGTTTCCAAAACCCAGTCCTCCAGGTCCATTTTCGAGCACAACTGAGTGACAAAGGTTTACGTTGTACGACCTGGGAGACCGCACGTGACAAAGGTCTGAACAAAGTCACTTTCGAGGACAAATTTAGATGAGGGCCAAGTCAAGGTTTCAAAGAATGGGACGCAAAGAAGAAATAGTACCGTCTAATTAGTTGCAATGAACAACACACTAACATCATGAAGGATAGACCATAAATTCGTAAAGCAAATCATCAATAAGGGATCGTACTTGTGTGGAGAATGGCGCCAAAAAGAGCGGTTAGTAGGTTGTGCCGGACTGGTGAGTTCCACGGATGCTATGGCTCTCCCTAGGCTGACTTCTGGAAAACGTCGTCCTACCGTCTGGCTGTGATGCTATAGGAGAGAGGACCGTTTGCTCTAGGCTGACAGCAAAATTTCAAAGCGGCGTCGGAAAAGGCTTCTCATGTTATAGATTTAACAGCATATATCTACTACGGCACGCTCTGCCATTGGGGAAAATTCCCACAATGCGAACCGCCTCTAAAGGTCCACTCCACCTTTCTACCGCTACCCCTCCCTTTCCTCCCAAACCCACCTACGCTGCTTACCATGTACTTTCTTTGCAAACTCCCACTTTCTTTGCACCACTCCACCTTTCTACCGCTACCCCCTCCCCCTCCTCCCAACCCCCACCCTACCTCTACCATGTACTTTCTTTGCAAACTCCCACTTTCTTTGCACCACTCCACCTTTCTACCGCTTTTTTTGAAGTAAATTCTGATTTCTTTGGAATAAAAACTGCCTCCGAGCGAGGGGTGGGCGAAATGGAGTTCAGTGAAACGGGAGAACCAAGAAAGGTCAGTGACCGAAAATATTGTTTCATGTTTTTCGGTTTTCTCACGCGAAGGCAGATACGACTCCCCCAACTGAAATATTTATCCAAAGGCAAATACGACTCCCCTGTCTCCACTGACCAAATACGACTCCCTCCCTCCTTGAGGAACAACATTGTGCGACGTGCCCTGATATTCCTGAACTTATAACTAGGCACACCTATTCACTTAGATGATGATACATTCCCTTTCCCTTCAAGCTGTAGAGCCAGGGTACAGCACGCTGTGTGAAACAAATGGGGGTAGCACTTTTCCGCTTAGGAGAGACGGCTCGGTATTTGGTCGCTTGTTGAGAAAGGGTTGGTCGTATGTGGTGTGGTTTTGAGAGAAATTTGCTGCGTTGGGAAAAATTCTTTTCCGGTTGTTGACTTTTCGTGATCCTGTTTTGTATGTGTATATATAGTACTCCCTCCCCCGCGCGACCGGCGAAATTTTCAGGCGGAAAGACGTGGAAAATGTTGTTGAAAACTGGTCGATAGGTGCTAGGGAAGGGGGGCGGGAGGTCGAAGTGACACCATCACTTCATAAATCACGATGCTGTACCCCGTGTAGAGGTCGCAGGGTCATGAAAAAGATAAATAGATAAAGTCAAATTGCTATAACTTTACCAATTCGTGAATCATAGTAGAACAAATGCTTTTCGGGTTCGTCACATGAGTATCCTCGATCTCGTGGCAGGTTACAATTCAAAGCGTCTCCTAAAAACGTCTACTAATTCTCCAGTGCTTGCAGTCGGGAGAGGTAGGCGGAGTTCGACTTGGAAGGACACCTAAAGGTATCCAGTGAAGCCTGTACAGGTGTTCCTGTGAAGATTTACAGATGCTTATGACCAAAGTAGGTCTTTGTAGCTTCACAAATGTTAAGAGATGACAGCAAAATGAGGCCTATTATTCAACATGAACTAGAAAATGCAACCAGCGGAAGTGCAAAATGCCCCTCCCAAGCCGAACAAGGCCGAAGTATTGTGAGGATGCAAACCAACCAATTCCAACGAGCAACAGGATCACGAAGACATGGAACATAGCTCGTAAATTCCTATGCAACCTGAAGAGGTATTGGATTAATACCGTAACCCAAGTGGATTTCGATCTATCTAAGAGTCTACGTCTTCCGTCATGTCTTTATCACACAAAAGTGACATTTTGTCTTCTTGGATCTAAATTTGCCTACAGATAAGCCCAACCACCGAAGTAATGGTCTTTTTGATAGGAGTGTTAGACCAAACTTCATAGAAAATTAGATGCTGCACAAGTTCAGGTGAAGCAGTTGATGAACTGACTTTGAAGAGGGGAAATAGGGTGCGGTGAGGGCGCGGTGGCACGTTCGGCATTCCCGAAGGGGATCCTATTTGATCGTTGAAGAGCGTGGGGTCGCATAAGGCCTTAGAATTGTTCTTTCTGATCGTTTACCTTCCCATTTTACGTGCCCACTGTTCACTCGACGGCAATTCTCGGGGAAAGGTGGAGCATTTCCTCAGAAAAATAACTTCAATAGTGGTAAGAAGTTGGTAGAACTTGGGGAGATACATAGTGGGTTCCCGAAAGAAAAATTTTTGAGGGCGGAGTAAGGGATCGTACCCTGGCCATATTTTCCCCGACGACAGTACCTGCTCAGTAGGAATAGAGCTTCTGTTTTTACCTGAACCATATTTTAGATGGGCCGCGCATTCGTCACAGAGCAATGAAAAACTATAAGCGCGGATTGGCCGACTAAAGCGTTGACTTCCGAACCATGCCTGTGGTAAGCGGCGCCACTTGCTAGCGCATTACCTCCGACCATCCTTGGGAACTGTGATGAAAGAAGTGGAATGATTACGAAAACAACCCTCACTCCCCTGATTTTGCTCTGTGAAAGTCTACTCACCATAAGGGGTAACCCAAAATAAAGCAGAACCACGTGATTCTTTTTTCCATGCGTTAGCGAAATCGCTAAAAAAATTCCTCTAATCAAGGTCGTTCACATCATTGGCTAAAACATAAGAGGGGTTAGGAGGGTACCATAACGACAGTCGACTCATGAGAAAAAGAAATGTGAGTTTTGCGCGATGTGTCTCCTAAAAATAAGAATTACGTGAATGGATCGAAAAAGAGACATGTTTTTCTAAGCTCCAGATATGGCGGTTTCTTAGAACGAGGGGGTAATGAGTGTAATCGTATATCGTAATAAGCCTTGAGGTTATGGACGCAGATACGATCTTTGTAGTTTTCTGAGTGAGCAAGAACCTGTTTTTTAATTGGGCGCTTCATCAGACTAGTGTTTTCGTGGAAAGCGAGTCTACCAGTGCTGCGCTTTTTCTGGTAGTTGTTTTGTTCTCGGATCGAAGACGAGGTGTAAACTCACTTCCGCGGGTCCTGTGAAGTGAGTGGGTCGCGCCTGCAGCGGCACGCTACCTTCTCCGGTCAAAAAAAGCATGAAAGGGAAACTGCAGGGGAGAGATACCTTGGCCGTCCCCTTGCTCCACGCTTCCGCCCAGCCAGCCGCACACCTGGCCGTAGTCTGACGCTTTACATCTCTGCTCAGGGTTCAGCATCGGTGATGT